AACGTCTTTTACGAGGATTAGGACATGGATTTAAAGGACTCTCCTATTGCGGAGACGTCTTCTTACATGTATCTCGGGCCTCTGATGAGCATGGAGAACGATCTGAAGGAAGAACTAAACAGGAGGCGAAGAGCAGCTTGGGCCGCTTTCGAGCCCATAAAGGTAGCCACTGATCAGCTGACGGACCCAGAGCTCCGCGCCCATCTGTTCGAGTCAACCGTTCTCCCTGCGCTCTGTCACGCAGCAGAGACGTGGCCTGACACCGCGGCTACGTCGAAAGCACTTCGAACAACCCACAGAGCGCTGCAACGAGTCTTTTGAAGTATAACCGACTTCTCCAACATCTCGTCGAACTTCGCAGTTCAGATATGAGATCAATGTCTCATCTTCGCGATCCAGCGGAATACGTCTCTAGGGCAAAACATCGGTGGGCTGGTCATATAACGAGGACAGACGACAGATGGACACTAAAAACTTATAAAGGATCCCTCGCGGAGCGAAAGTCCTCGAGGGAGGCCACCGACCAGATAGGCTGACGTGTTCGTTGCAAGGATGGACCAATTGAATTTTCAGCTGATAGCGAGTAATGGATCTGAACCTCGTGAACGTCGCCGTCGCAGTTTAATTCCAACATCGTGGTGACGTCAGCGAGAGACAGAAACGGATGGAAACAGTGCTGTGGCCGGCACGACAAGTGAAGACATCTAAATAACCAAGTAACTAAGTTAAGATTTTAGAAATTATCAAAATATGTTTTAAAGGTGTGGATTAAATTACATTGTTGATAAGCGCAACAATATACATTATTCTTATGCTACAAAAGATGCTAATCACATCACAGACAGTTCTTGTTGTTTCGATAGATTGATATAATTGCTAAGTGTAGCACCTCGAATTGGGGTAGCTTCGTACTGCGAGCTCTGTCGCTGCTAAAATATCAAAATGCACGTATAGAACCAAATCACTTGTGGATGTTACCTATTGGATCTGACTATGGCAATAACTAATAAATCCATGACGTAACAATATAATAAATCGAAATGAATAGTATAACAAGGATTCTGTTACTTAAAAAGTTGATGTTACTTATACCTTTTCAAGACTTAAATTATACCACGACATTACAATGATGTTAATTCTAAATTGTTTTTTTCGCAATTGGAATTCAACTTGCATATGTGTTGAAACAAAGAAAAGAAAGAAAAGAAGTGTTGACAATTTTTAATAGAGCATTTTCCGCCACGGATATATTGGTTGCACAATTTTTCCTTTTTTAATCA